CTTCTTGGCTCTCGGAAATATGAGTACTCAGAAAGCTTTCCAATTAAATAGTTGCCTGTAATTACACACCAAATGAAGTTTAGGGCTACAGCTGCGTGGCCACAACATCATTTAAATCCAGTTTTATAAGCTACATGGATGAGCGCAGATAAAAGAAATCTGTTGTATCCTCTGGTTCTCTTTAATCTTTCCTCAGACAAACCCGATAATAATTCAGCCAAGGAGCCTTCAATGAAAAACCCTAAACTGTTCTGAAAGAAGTCAGGTTCGAGCCGGGAGGAGGAGGAGGAGGGAGCCCTGCCCCAGCACCCTGCGCAGCAGGAGAAGCCGAGCTGATCCCTGCCTCCCCAGACAAGCCCTGCACACTCAGCACCCGACCAGCAGCGAGGACAGAAGGGGACTGTGTGGAGCAATGACTACCATGTTCTTACAGCTTAATTGCAGTCTTCTGCTTCAGCTACACAGTTTGGGGTAAGGCAGGAGGCCGGAAGGGCAGCTCTTCGGGTCATGCAGTGTTACAGAGCAACTAGGTGAGTTATTGCACCTCTGCCGAGACGCTCTAGCAGCGCCTCTGCCTAGCTCTGCTATGGGGAATCCTGCAACAGAGCAGGGAGAGAAAGCAGAGGGTAAAACAGCCCGCCAAGCCAAAGAGAGAGGCAACCCTCAGGAGCGTTGGCCAGGCAGCATTCGTCGTGCTTTCACGCTCCAAAGCCCCTGTTCAGGCTGCGGGGAAGGGCTGGACGTACCATCGGCGGAAGCGGGAGTGAGGGGGATGTACTCCGTCGATGTCTGGCTGGTCAAGGAGACCCTGGCTCCCGTCAGGTCGATTTTGGTGCTCCGGCAGGTGTTGGAACAGACCTTCGTGTGCTGGTAGAAATCCAGCTCTCCCGAGTCCATGATCTTCCTGCAAGACAGGGAGCAAGCCCAGGGACCGGCGCGTCAGCAGGGGCAGAGCGCTCCGAGACGCAGCTCCTGGCAGCCTCCAACCTTCTCAAAGTCCCAGATGAAAAGCAAACGCCAGGAGAGCAGGCGGAGGCAACAGTCCGAATTTCCCTTGGCAAGTCCCGCTGCGTACTGACGTTAGAAGCAGCATTAACTAAGAGTTAATTAAAACAGCATCCACTGCCTGCTCCGTACTGGCCACATGCACAAATCCACCACCCACCCAACACTCCAGTGGTGGTAAAGCCTTTCAGGAGGCTGGGATGGGGAGGAAAAAGCCCGTCGTGCTGTAGCTGCGGTGAAGGACTGGAGCAGACTCGGTGTCTGGCCCTGCCCTGCCACGGCCCGTGCCCTCCTGTGGGACGGTGGAGGGGAAGCGGGACTTCAGCCCTCTGAAATGGTTCCTCTCCAAGCCCAACCCAGAGAGGATGGATTTTCTTAGTCCAAGAAAGAAAATCTTTGTCTTTGCCCCTGAAGCACTCAACGTGGGCTGAGAGGCTCCAGAGACACATGAGCTTTTCCCAAGGAGATATCCCTGTAAGACTAAACACACCTTGAGAAGCACTGGGACAAACCGCACTGCTCTCTGCGGATCTTCTGCTGGCTAGAAGCCCTCATGGAAAACGCACGATTTAGAGCCCAAACACTGAGTTCCTGCAATGCCAGCGAAGCGGGGAGGGCTCTTCCCTGTCACCCTGGGCCATGCTCCCGTGCAGCAGTTTTACCCCCACCCTGTGATGCTGAACAGGGTCCTCCTCCCTGGGGTTCCCTGACCTGCTCTGAGGACATCCCCTGCCTTTGTATGAGCAACCCACACCTACCCCAAGTGTGCCCACGTGTCTGTGGGGCTCCCCACAGCAGAGGCAGAGCCACCCCGTCCTGCTGCCCTCCCACCTCCTGACAGCAGGGCAACGCTTGGCCTCCAAACCAGCTGGTTTCAGAGCTGGTCCCACCTCCCTGGGCAGGCTCTTTGCACAGGGGTCTGTAATTTGAACCAGGACCCCTTGCTGGGACTGATGAACTCCTGGTTCATTGAGGGAGGAACGAGAAGGTCCCAGCCTGGTCCCACCAGCACCATCCCCCCGTGCACGCCTGTGGCTTCCAGCAGAAGGGTCGGCTGAAGGAGATGGGCATAACCCCATTTATAAACTAAACTAAGGTCTCTCAGCTTAAGCAAAGGAGGTTGCAACATTGGCACATGTGATCTTTCCAGTCTAAGCACGTTGCCTCCAAAGCATCCCCAGGCTTTGCTGGACAACAACAACCTGAGCTGCCCAAGATTTGCTGCCATGGGCTGCTGGGCTTGCCTTCACACACTCCTCGTGAAGTTTTTTTTTCCTAGAAGGACCTGCCTTTCCCAAGCAGAAGCCGATTATGCAAAATCTACGTGGAGCAAAAGCTGCTGGGAAGGAATACGGCAAGATGCCTGCACTGAAGCAGAAGGATCCAGGCAAAGGCAAGGTCACTCTGTGACCAGAGTACAAAACCACTGACGAGTCCTGGGGAAAGAGGTGAAGCTTTTTTATCCTGCCTACAGGCAGAGACAGGCTTTAATTAAATCACAGTCTCAGGCTGGTGTTCAAGCGACCACAGAAGAATTAAATTACTGTAGTTACGACTAGAGAAGAGAAATGCTTGCATAAATAAGCTTTAAATAAGTCCTTAGCAAAGAAAAAAAAATAAAATGAACTGCTGTAAAGCAGACCTGCCGCAATGGGAGCATCAGTTGATGGCCAGACTGACTTCCATCTGGCGGGTGACACTGAGTGACCATTAAAACTTCCAGTCACCTTACGCCAGCTGGGAACGGCATTTGCTGCCCCGAATTATTCCCTAGGCACAAGGACAAAGCAAAGCCATGGGGCAGACCCCGTTTGGGGCCAGGCTGGTGAGACAAACGTTCAGGGGCCCATTCCCTCTCCCAGCAGAGAAAACTGTGCCAAAGGCTCTGTCCCACCCCACCGTTCTCCCCCAGAAAGAAGAAGTCTCTGCTGTTGCTCTGCAGATACAAACGAAGAGACTAACCGGAGCATGATCCCGTTCATCCGGATCGCCCGCTTCCAATCCTTCAGGGTCGACTTGCCCGCCAAGTGGACAAACTCCTTGGGGCTAATTAGGTGATCGTCAAACTGCAAGAGGCAGAAGTGCGACATCAGCGTGACAAGCCACCAGACAACGCAGGCGTGCCCCACCAGCGTGGGTCGGCAGCAGAACGTGGTGGCATCTCCCAGCGCCCAGCAGCACAGCGGAGCTGCCTCACAGCCTCGACGTGCTGCTGAAATAACAGCACCCAAACAGAGGGCCGACACACACTTCCCCACCCTAGAGAACACTGATCTAGTTAAAAAAATTAAAGGCCAACACTGCTTTCACGGCTGGTTATCAGCTGCTCAAAGCCAAGGGTGTGTGCAGCACAGAGGAGGTTGCTGAACGCCCAGCCCAGGCAGGACAGCTGGGAGAAACACAGAATCACAGAATAGTAGGGGTTGGAAGGGACCTCTGTGGGTCATCTAGTCCAACCCTCCTGCCCAAGCAGGGTCACCTACAGCAGGCTGCACAGCACCGCGGCCAGGCGGGTCTTGAATATCTCCAGAGAAGACAGAACTTCCTGTGCCTCAGTTTGTGCCCATTGCCTCTTGTCCTGTCACTGGGCACTACTGAAAATAGTCTGGCCCCATCCTCCTGACACCCACCCTGCAGATATTTAGAGGCATTTCTAAGGTCCCCTCGCAGCCTTCTCTTCTCCAGGCTGAACAAGCCCAGCTCCCTCAGCCTCTCCTCGTAGGAGAGATGCTCCAGTCCCCTCCTCATCCTCGTAGCCCTCCGCTGGACTCTCTCCAATAGCTCCTCATCTTTCTTGAACTGGGGAGCCCAGCACTGGACACAGCACTGCAGATGGGGCCTCCCCAGGGCAGTGTAGAGGGGGAGGAGAACACCCGTGCCTCGTGCAAAGCATCATTAACTGCTCACGCTCCCACTAACGAGCAGGCTCGCAACGAAAGCTGCGCTGCCCTTGGTGACTTTTGGGTCCGGGGACACGCTACGCCCTGCGCAAGCCAGGGAAGGAGAAGCCCATTTGGTCTTTGACCTCCTGCTACCGAGCCCAATCGCTGATATCAGTGGCACCTCTGGCCTCTCTGGCAGCGCACGCCCACTTCCACGGCAAACCGGCTTTGGGGAGCTGGCGTACCCTGCATACCCCCTTCTTCTATCACCCAGCTGTGCCTGAACCCACACGCTGACCTAAGTATCAGGCAGCCCTCTGAAGAGCTGCTCTACAGCCCATCTCAGCAAGGATTTCCCAAGTGCAGGCCACCTCCTTTCAGTGCCCACATCAACCAACGGAGAGCTCCCTCACCATCGCTGCATGAGAAACTGCTGCTCTGACCAAGCACGCGGGCATCGGAGCAAAGAGAGGACGGATTTCAGGCAGCAGCACCTGTCCTCTGCCCCAGGGATGGAAAGGACCATCTCACCATCTCTCCTACGAAGGGCGAGGACCATCCTTTGGAAAGCCCTCTTGCAACAGAGCCCAGAGGAGAGACTCCCTCAGCAGGGCATTGTTCAGTCCCTGTACAAAGGCCAGCGATGGCTTAGGAGAGCGTTACTCATGGTATGTTCCTGAATTCATGCAAATTTTAACCATGAGTTATCCAGGACACAGCAAAAGCTCTTCAGCAGGTCCCCTACCAATAAGCTTCTCAATAAATGCTCAACTTTCAAACCGAGCAGACACTGGAAGTGCTGAAATTTCTCAAACTCTCCAATAATGCAGTTAAATTGAGGCAGCATCTCTCCAGCCAGGACTGCTCAACTTGGCTGAGAAGGCAAACATCAGGTACAACAGCACCAAGAACTTCCTCCTTCCCCACCACAACGTGGTTCTGATGCAAAGCAGCTCCCCAAAGCTCACTGAAACCAGGACAAGCCAGGTGAGCCCGCAACACGGACGTGGGAAGGCACGAGGGTCCAGCGTTGGGGCCCTTGATTCTCACCTGCACACACTTCACGTTGATCCCAGGGCACACAAACTTTCTCCAGATGAGGTTGGCCTTGCTGTCCCCGCAGGTGATGGGGTAGACAATCTCTGCCTCCAAACTGTCCTCATCTTCAGCCATCTTCACTTCTCACAGGGAACAGAGGAAGGGACAGATGAAGAAGAAACGTGAGTCGCAGCCCCGAGGCACGCATACAGTGATAAAGCAACTTTAAAGTTCAGGATTAAAAGAAATGTAGACGATGGATGGTGGGATGGGCTGGGGTTTGTGGCCACCATTCACTCGCACTTTGCTACTAAAGCCTCCAACCACCCACATTTCTCAGGCAGAAGAGCGCAGGCAGATTTCTACCGCTCCGGCGCAGCTGAGTGGGTGAAATCTGAGAAGTCACTGGCCAGGGCTGAAAAAATTCACTTAATAAAAACGAAAGGAACGACGCTGTTCAGGTAATTGCACGTTCAGCTTTGGTTTTGGAGCGCAGCCGTTTCGCAGGCAGCTCCAGCTGGTTACAGTCTTTGCTCTCTAAATTCACTTTTCCTTGCAACCAAAGCAGGTGAGTCTGCTGCAAAGCTGACGTCCCCGTCGCAAGCTGGAAGGGCAGGAGCCAGCGCTGGCCAGACACAGGGCCTCATCCTGCACCAGGAGAGGGCAGCAGCCACCCAGCCACCGGCTCCCCCCCCGCCCCCCCCCCCCCCCGAGGGGCGGGGCCC